GGATCCTGATTCAAAGCCATCTTGGGCAGGAAAGTCAGCGACTCTTATCTCCAATGAATCACCAAAAAGCTCTAAGTGGAGGTGGTTTAAGTGGTAGAGTGCTAGTGTTGAGCAAGAAAGCTCAGGGACAGCAATTAGATCCCGAGTTCAAGTCCTAGGATTGACACATTAAAAAAACCACAAAACCCACCAAGTCTTCACCATTGCTTACAAAGATACACACACACACAGACACACACACACACACACACACACACACACACACACACCTCAAACCCACCCACTCTCTGGTCCCTCATACCCCCTTCTCCACACTGTGTCTGCCTTTGAGACTCAGTTGCCTGATTCGATGTCAGAGGAGGCAGGAGGGCCAGAAGAGGGTGGGGAAGGGGCTTGTCCTCCATTAGTCAGGAGGGGTGGGGTTCAGGGAAAGAGGGCAGGAAAGAGGAAGATTCTGTCTAGAACATGTTCACTATTATTTGTTGAGTAATTGCACTTGATTTTTTTTTTTTTTTTTTTGTCGGTCATGGGCCTTGAACTCTGGGTCTGGACGCTGTCCCTGAGCTCTTCAGCTCAAGGCGAGCGCTCTACCACTTAAGCCACAGCGCCACTTCTGGTTTCCTGATGGTTTATTGGAGATAAGAGTCTCACAGACTTTCCTGCCCAGGATGGCTTTAAACCGAGATCCTCAGATCTCAGCCTCCTGAGTAGCTAGGATGACAGGTGTGAACCACCAGCGCCCAGTTTTGTGTTTTGGTTTTTTTTTTGTTTGTTTTTTGGGTGTTTGATCATGGGGTTTGAACTCTGGGTCTGAGCACTGTCCCTGAACTCTTCAGCTCAAGGTAAATGCTCTACAACTTGAGCCACAGCGCTACTTCCGGTTTTCTGGTGGGTTTTCTTTTTTGGAGATAAGAGTCTCATGAACTTTACCTGCCCAGGCTGGCTTTGAACTGCAGTCCTCAGTTCTCAGCCTCCTGAGTAGCTAGGAGTACAGGTGTGAGCCACCAGTGCCTGATTGCACTTGATCTTAACCAAAAAAATAAAGATGGAGAAGCGACATCGGCTAGTCATTTTCTATAAGGGCTGAGTTTTACAGGAGAGGTTCATGTTAAAGATATAAGTTTGGAGACTTCCCTCAGAAGCCAGGAGCCAGATGATGTCCCCAAGCGGGTCATTGTAGGAAGAGAAGAAAAAAGGTCCCACACTGAGTTTGGAAGTCAGATGAGATGGAGCTATAGGCAATTATTAGGAGACTTAGACTAGAGATCAGGTACAGGAAGGAGTTTCCATATATCAGTTCTGCTTTTTTGGTTATGGGGCTTGAACTCAGGGCTTGGGAGCTGTCCCTGAGCTCTTTTTTTTTTCCTGCTAGTCCTGGGGCTTGAACGCAGGAACTGGGCCCTGTCCCTGTGTTTCTTTTGCTGAAGTCTAGCACTCTACCACTTGAGCCACAGCACCCCTTCCAGCTTTTTCTGTTTATGTGTTACTGAGGAATTGAACCCAGGTAGACAAACTACCACTAAGCCACATTCCCAGCCCTGACTCTGAGCTCTTTTGCTCAAGGCTAGTGCTCTACACTTTGAGCCACAGCCATTTCCGGTTTTATGGTGGTTCATTGGAGATAAGTCTCATGGACTTTGCTGCCTGGGCTGGCTTTGAACCTTGACCCTCAAGTCTTGGCCTCCTGAGTAGCTAGGATGACAGATGTCAGCCACCAGTACCTGGTTTGATTCCTGCCTTTCAAGCCAAAGAAAAGTGGGGACCTCCCAGACTCTGAAAGATTTTAGCTGTTCAAGCTAGGGTTCTTGGGTACCCTGGGAGGTGAGGTCAACAGAAGGAAGTCAGGGTAAGGGTGAGGATCAAAAGCCTCATGGCTTGTGATGCCAGACAGGGTCAAAACATGGCCACCTTCCAGGTACCACAGAAGTGGGCAGAGGCCAAGGCGATGTTCTTGCTTCTGGAAAACCAATGATCTGGGGAGAGGGAGGCCAGGACCCTATACCATATAAAGGGACTTCCCATCTACTAGAATCAGACCAGCTCTCTGAGGTGTTGAGCTCAGTGGTTCTCCCTAGCAAATGGGGAAACCGAGGCAGACGAGATGACCAGTGTTGCCAGGATCCTGGCCTCCCTGTCCCTCCCTCCCTCCCCCTCTCCCTCTCCTCCTCCTCTTCCCCTCCCCTCCCCCTCCCTCTCCCTCTCCCTCTCCCTCCCTCTCCCTCTCCTTCCCTCTCTCTCTCTCTCTCTCTCTCTCTCTCTCTCTCTCTCTCACACACACACACACACACACAGAGCTCAGGAACAGGTGGCTCACTCAGCAGACCAGCAGACTCAACCTCCATGGCCCACCTCCTTGACCTCCACAGTCTGCCTCTGCCTTCCAGAAATAGGTCAGCTGGCCCAACAGAGCCCCAGGACACAATAGCCCCTTTCTTTGTTTTTGCCTCTGAGGAACTGGGTAAGCTCCATCAGGCCAAACATCTTAATGTGATCAAAGTTATTCGGCAAAGGCTTAAGGAGAAGGGCAGGAGGAGGAGACTGGGGGAGGCCTGCAAATGGGGGAGACACACTTCCTATACCCTCCTTGCCTGGAAGAAGGAGATGGGGAAACTCTACAGGGAACAGAGAACAATTGGCCCATTGGGTGGATGAGAATGTGGAGGCCAGCTGGACACTGAACTTCCTGGCTGCCGTTTAGACATCCAATCAGTGGAGGCCTCTGGACCCTGAGCTTCCTGGCTGTCATTCAGACACCCAATCAATCAGGCAGAATCTCCTGGTTTGGCCCATCCTATATCCCCAACCCTGGGCTTGTCATGTTCATCCTTTTCTTCTAATTGAAGGAGTTCTTAAGGGATGAGCTGATTACTGCTGACCCCCATGGGGTCTGAGCCTCTCCCTGCCAAGCACTAAGAGGTATTAATGACAGCTCAGCAGGTGCCCGGGGTGGGGGGGGGCAGCTCTGTCCTCAGGAATCTCTCTGCGAAGCCTCAATTCATGCCACTCACCCCAGCCCACCACCCCAACCCTCTGTGGATGCCCACAGAGCCTCAGCCACCCACATCCAGAGTGGCCAGGGGACCATTAATGGCTTTCTTGAGATTTTTTTTTTGGTCGGTTATGTCTTGAACTCGGCCTGGGCGCTGTCCCTTAGGGCAAGCGCTCTACCACTTGGGCCACCAGCGCCACTTCCCTTTCCCGACATCTTTAGCCACAAACCTGGGGCAGCTGCTGGAGATGGTGCAGGTCCAGAAAGAGCGAGAGAGAGAGAGAAAGAGAGAGAGAGAGAGAGAAAGAGAGAGAGAGAGGGAACCTCAAAGGACCTCAGAGACACTGGCTAACACCCAGAGATCTTTGAGCCACGTGGGGAAAAAATTCTGAATGGAAGGCTGAAGTCACGTGTCTAAAACAATACCCAATCTCTCACCCTGTCTAAAGTCTCAAGACAGACAACCCGGCACATGGCTAGTGATTTGTCTTTTGGGATCCCAGTCCCGGAAGACTAACCTGTGATTCTCATACCTCTGAGAGCCCAACAGAGTGCATTATTTATAAGAATGGGGTCTCTCCAGAGTGGGTAGCTTGGGGCTCTCAATTTTCTCCTCTCTCCCCGCCCCGCCCAACCAATTCTAACATCCCAACTTCTTCTAAGGCCACCCAGCCCCCATCCTCACCCCCACCTCTCCCTTGTTGGCTTCCAACCTCACTGGCTGTGTGTGTGTGTGTGTGTGTGTGTGTGTGTGTGTGTGTGTGTGTTTTCCTTTCTTTTGGCAAATTGTGCTCTACCAGGTCCTGAGAACGGCTGTCTGCCGGACAGTCAAAGGCCCTTTAGCAATGCCAACAGCCCACCCAGGGTCCTGGGCTCCTCTTTGCTAGATCTTTCTCCAGGAGGGAAAAATAAACAGCCGAAGGACACAGTTTACCTTGGAGTATGGAGGCATAAGAATAATTTCCTTCTTATCTGAATGTATTTAGGACTCCTAGGATGTGACCAGAAAAACAAGTGGAATGCAATGGCTGTCTCCAGACTGGAAATCTGTGTCGGCTGGGGCTGGGGGGGGGGGGGGGAGGTCTGGGACAGGGACGGGGAAAGGGGGGGTGAGTTTGGTCGTCGACCAGGAGTGAATGCAAATTAGCAATGACAGTTGTACCCTTGTCCAACCCTGTCTGTAGCCTGGCAGGTGGAGGGGACAGGCTCTCCCAGAGCCTCTCCAGGTAGGGGGAGATTACTATTCTACCTATCTGTGTGTGTGTGTCTGTGTGTCTGTGTGTGTCTGTGCCTGTGTGTCTGTGCTGGTACCAGGACTTGAACTCAGGGCCTGGGCACTTGTCTCTTAACCTTTTCACTCAAGGCTCTACCACGTGAGCCATACCTCCACTTTGGCTTTTTTGGTGGTTCATTGCAGATAAGAGTCCCATGCAGTTTCCTGGGTTGGCTTTGAACTGCCGTCCTCCGGATCTCAGCCTCCTGAGGAGCTAGGATGACAAGCTGAACCACCAGTGCCAGGCTTCCTCCTCCCCTTCCTCCTCCTCCTCCTCCTCTTCTCCTTCTCCTATTTCTCCTTTTTGGTCTGAGACTAGGACTTGAACTCAGTACCTGACACTTTTGCTCATTGGCTGGCGCCCTACCAACTAAACCATGCCTCTAACCTCAAGGGTTGGTTATGTCTTTTCTTTCTATCTTTCTTTTTTATGGGGACACCATACTTTCTCCTGGGGTGGATATGGGGGTACTGAGGAACTCAGGACCCACTCCAGGCAGGAGGGCCTGGCTGGCTGGCTGAGGTGCCAATTTCCATGCCAAAGACTAAAGAGGGACCAAAGATGAGTCCAAAATGATCCTTTCACCCACTGGAGGGGCCTACAGGCCACCTTCCCCCCCCCTCTTCCCCCCCCCTCTTCCCCCCTCCTCCTCTCCCTCACTTTATGTCCTGACTGCCTCTGCACCCCCTCCCCAGCCCCAGGAGGCCGGGCCTGACATCTCCCATCTCTCTCCACAGGAAACATCATTGGCTCGGGTATCTTCATCTCCCCCAAGGGGGTCCTGGAGCACTCGGGCTCTGTGGGTCTGGCGCTCTTCGTCTGGGTCCTGGGAGGAGGTGTGACAGTGCTGGGATCCCTCTGCTATGCAGAGCTGGGGGTCGCCATCCCCAAGTCTGGAGGGGACTATGCCTATGTCACTGAGATCTTCGGGGGCTTAGCCGGGTGAGTGCGGGGTCCTGATGAGCCGCGGACCCCAGTTTCCTCTTCTGCTTCCCATGTCACTGGGAAGTTTTGGAGATAAGGGGAAAAGGGGGTGGAGTGGTGGAGTGGGTGCCATGACTGTCCCTGGCCCCCTGGTATCTCTCCCTCCCCCCTCTCTCTTCACCCGCCTCCACCTCCTACGGCCCTGGTGTCAGCTCAGGGGTTTAAATTCGGGGGCCTTGCCCTTGGTCTGGCTCATGGCTGGTGCTCTACCACTTAGACCACGACTCCAGTCCAGCATTTGGATGGCTAACTAAAGGTAGAGCCTCTCAAGACTTTTCTGGCATTGAACTGTGACTCTTCAGGTCTCAGCATCCTGAGTAGTGAGAGTGACAGGTTGAGTTATGGAAGTTACTGACACCTGGCCATCTCTATCTACTTTCATTTTTATTTTATTTATTTGTGCCAGTACTGGGGTGGAGTGGGGGTCAACTCAGGGCCAGAGTATGCTCCCTTAGTTTTTCAGTCAAGCCTGGTGCTCTACCACTTGAACCATGTCTCCCATACAGCATATTGCGGGTTAATTGGAGATAGAGTGTCCCAGATCTTAGCTTCCTGAGTAGCTAGGATTACAGATGTGAGCCACCTGTACCTGGCTTTGGTCTCCTTTTTTTTTTTTTTCCCCAGGCTTGTGTCTGGGCACTGTCCCTGAGCCTCTTTGACTCTACCACTTAAGCCACAGTGCCATTTCCAGCTTTTTCTGTTTATGTGGTACTGAGGACTTTGAACCCAGGGCTTCATGCATGGTAGGCAAGCATTGTGCCATTAAGCCACATTCCCAGTCTCACCAGTCTCCTTTAGAGATCCCTCAGCTCCACTCTCCAAAAAAGATCTGTCCCTTAGCCAAGTGCTGGCTAATCCTAGCTGCTCAGGAGGCTGAAATCTGAGGATGGCAGTTTGAAGTCAGCCTGGGCAGGAAAGTCTGTGAGACTCTTACCTCCAGTAAACCAAGAAAGAAAGAAAGCGAAGAAAGAAAGCAAGAAAGCAAGAACGAAAGAAAGAAAGAAAGAGAGAAAGAAAGAAAGAAAGAGAGAAAGGAAAAGGAAGGAAGGAAGGAAGGAAAGGAGAGAGAGAGAGAAAGAAAACCAGCCAGAAGTAGAGTTGTGGCTCAAATAGTAGAGTGCTAGTCTTGAACACAAAGCTCTGGGATAGCGCCAAGGCCCTGAGTTCAAGCCCCAGGACAGATACACACACACACACACACACACACACACACACACACACACACACACACACACACACACACACACACACACACACACGAGGGAAAAGATATTTGGGTCCCAGTCTTTCCCCAAACCTGTCCAGGATCTCCACTCTGCCTTCTGGAACTCTGCCAGTCCTGCCAGCCCTTGGCTGCTGATCTCAGTACAGCCCGGCTCCCAGGCCTAGGACAACAAAGCCAGCCACTGCCATTGCGACTCTTCTTTCCTTGCAGATTCCTGCTGCTCTGGAGCGCTGTCCTCATCATGTACCCTACCAGCCTGGCTGTCATCTCTATGACGTTTTCCAACTATGTGTTGCAGCCTGTATTCCCCAACTGTATCCCCCCTGCCACGGCCTCCCGCATGCTCTCCATGGCCTGCCTGAGTGAGTGCATGCTGCTCCCAGCTGGGCCTCTGTCCCCTTAGTCCCAAGGATCCTGTCCATGATGCCAAATGCCACAGGGTGTGGGGACAGCAGTGTGTGTGTGGGGGGGGGGGTGTTCACCAGCTACCAGTTGGGCGCTGGTGGCTCACACCTGTAATCCTAGCTACTCAGGAGGCTGAGATCTGAAGATCGTAGTTCAAAGCTAGCCTGGGCAGAAAAATCCATGAAACTCTTATCTCCAATAAACCATTCAGAAAAAGCCAGGAGTGGCGCTGTGGCTTAAGTGGTAGAGTGCTAGCCTTAAGCACAGCACCCGAGCCCAGAGTTCAAGCCCTAGGACCAGCACACATACACACAAAAAGACTGGGATTCATCATAGGGTCCCCCACTTCAGAGTCCTCCCCCCACCCCCCATTTTCCCTCCCCAGTGCTCCTGACATGGGTGAACAGCTCCAGCGTGCGCTGGGCCACTCGAATCCAAGACATTTTCACAGGAGGCAAGCTGCTGGCCCTGTCACTCATTATTGGTGTTGGCTTCATCCAGATCTTCCAAGGTAGGGCCGGGAGGCAGTGTGGGCAAGGGCTGAGTGTGGGAGACTGAGCTGACCTCTAACTTCTGGACTCCTCTTCCCCCCACCCCCTTCATCCTCCCAGGTCATTTCGAGGAACTGAGGCCCAGCCACGCCTTTGCCTTCTGGATGACACCTTCCGTGGGGCACCTGGCCTTGGCCTTCCTCCAGGGCTCCTTCGCTTTCAGTGGCTGGAATTTTCTCAACTATGTCACTGAGGAGTTGGTTGATCCTCGAAAGTGAGTAGGACATCCAGGAAGAGGCTGGGTGCCGGTGGCTGACGCCTGTCATCCTAGCTACTCAGGAGGCTGAGATGTGAGAATCACAGTTCAAAGCCAGCCCGGGCAGGAAACTCCGTGAAACTCTTATCTCCAATTAGCCACCAGTACACTGGACGTGGCGCTGTGGCTCAAGTGGTAGAGCACTAGCTTTGAGCTGAAAAGCTGAGGGACAGCGCCCAGGCCCAGAGTTCAGGCCCCATGACCGGCCAAAAAAAAAAAGAAAAGCCATCAATTAGATTTTACCCCTTGGGCTACAATCTGGTGTCTGTACCCGCATCTGAGGTTCTGAGAGGCAGAAAGCAGTGTCTGTGTCCCTCGGGCATCCATGCTGCACCCTCCATCCCTGGACCCCCTGCAAATCAGAGCATGACACTGACACACTGCGTTCACCATTCCCAGAAACCTACCTCGTGCCATCTTTATCTCCATCCCACTGGTGACCTTCGTGTACACCTTCACCAACGTCGCCTACTTCACTGCCATGTCTCCCCAGGAGCTGCTGTCCTCCAATGCAGTGGCAGTGGTGAGGGCCCTCCCCCTCCCCCGCCCCTCCCACCCCCGCCCTGTATCCCCCCCCCCCCCCAGTCCTTTGCCTTCACCTCCCACTCCAGCCTCACATCCGACCTCTCTTCTGTACCCTCTCAGACCTTCGGGGAGAAACTCCTGGGCTATTTCTCATGGGTCATGCCTGTGTCTGTGGCACTTTCTACTTTCGGAGGGATCAATGGCTATCTGTTCACCTCCTCCAGGTGCCTGGGCTTTGGGGGGGGAGGGGAGGCAGGTGGAATGCATGGGCTATACCAGGAACCACGGGAGGGAAATGTAGAATGATGAGTCCATTAGTCTGCTGCCAGTGTCTGATCCCAACTTTGAACAGAGGAAGCCAGAAGGCCAAGGAGGGCACCCCGGGGCTCACGCCTGTCATCCTAGCTACTCAGGATCGCGACTCAAAGCCAGTCCCCAACAGACATACACACACAAAGCAAGAGGGAAGCAGGCTAGATGAAGGGAAGGACTGCCCAGTAAGGCTGGTAGGACTTAGCGTAGGGGGGAGCTCAGAGGTGATAGCTGCAGAGGGACATCAGATAGAGACTTGAAACACAGGACTTAGCCACCAGGGAGCACTAAGGCCTAACTTCATGGCCTTTAACCGTTTCTGCCTCCATCCTTAGGCTGTGTTTCTCTGGAGCCCGAGAGGGCCACTTGCCCAGCTTGCTGGCCATGATCCATGTCAGACGTTGTACCCCTATCCCTGCCCTCCTTGTCTGTGTAAGTTGGGATGGAGTAGGGGGCAAGGGGGGGGGGGAATACCCAAGTCAGGCAGGATGTAAAGCCTGGACTGCCTGGCCTTAGGGTTGGGTTGGGACTTCCTGGGGGAGGGACTTCCTGGGGAATAATGGGCTACTGGGCCATGATGGATGGGGCCGGGTGGGGTGTGCCAGGCCAGCCATCAGCCCAGCTTCTCTCCCAGTGCGGGGCCACGGCAGTCATCATGCTTGTGGGAGACACGTACACCCTCATCAACTACGTGTCCTTCATCAACTACCTCTGCTACGGCGTCACCGTCCTGGGCCTGCTTGTACTACGTTGGAGGCGCCCTGCACTGCACAGACCCATCAAGGTAAGGCTTTGGGGGGGGGGGATCCCCAGCATGGCTGAGGTGTTGGAAACCGTCAGAGCTATTCTTTTTCTGAGCTGGGTACCAGGAGTGGGCATGAGTGACAATTCACATTTGTCACATGCAGGGCTTGCCATGTGCTGACATGATCACTCTTATGTTTAGGGAAGAGCTTGTGACACTCCAGATCTACAGATGAAGAGCACACAGGGTGCTGAGGATAAGAATTGGCACTCTCGTCCGGCTGAAAAAGCCAGAAGTGGTTCTGTGGCTCAAGTGGTAGGGCACTAGCCTTGAGCTGAAGAGCTGAGGGACAGTGCCCAGGCCCAGAGTTCAGGTCCCACGAAAACAAAACAACAAAAATGTGCCGGGCGCTGGTGGCTCACGCCTGTAATCCTAGCTACTCAGGAGGCTGAGATCTGAGGATCGAGGTTCAAAGCCAGCCCGGGCAGGAAAGACTGTGAGACTCCTATCTCCAATAAACCACCAGAAAACCGGAAGTGGCGCTGTAGCTCAAGTGGTAGAGCGCTCGCCTTGAGCTGAAGAGCTCAGGGACACCCCCCAGGCCCAGAGTTCAAGCCCCATGACCGACAAAAAAAAAGAAAGAATTGGCACTCTCAATCCCGCGGGAAAACGGAAAACAAATCCAGCCGGGCACTGGTGGCTTATGCCTGTTATCCTAGCTATTCCTGAGGCTGAGATCTGAGGATCACTGGTCGAAGCCAGCCTGGGCAGGAAAGTCCATGAGTCTTACCTCCAATAAACCACCAGAAAACTGGAAGTAGTGCTGTAACTCAAGTGGTAGGGCACTAGCCTTGAGCTGCAGAGCTGAGGGACAACGCCCAGGCCCAGAGTTCAAGCCCCATGACGGAAAGAAAGAAAGGAAGGAAGGAAGGAAGGAAGGAAGGAAGGAAGGAAGGAAGAAAGAAAGAAAGAAAGAAAGAAAGAAAGAAAGAAAGGAAGAAAGGAAGAAAGAAAGAAAAAAGCCAGATATCGTGCTGTGGCTCAAGTGGTAGAGTGGTAGTCTTGAACAAAAGAAACTCAGGGACAGTGCTCAGGCCCTGAGTTCAAGTCTCAGGACTGGCAAAAGAAAAACACCTCTATTTACATATAGTGTGTGTGTGAGTGTGTGTGTGTGTGTGTGTGTGTGTGTACGTACGTACATACATGTGCATGCATACATGTGCTGGCCTTGGGGCTTGAACTCAGGGCCTAGAGACCATCCTGTAGCTTTTCATTCAAGGCTGTTTGTCTGCCATTTGATTCACAGCTCTACCTGCTGGCTTTTAAAAAATAATTCATTGTTATTATAAAGGTGATGTACAGAAGGGTTACAGTTACATAAGTCAGGTAAAGAGTATATTTCTAGGGGCTGGGAAGGTGGCTCAGTGGTAGAGCGCTTGTCTTGCATGCTTGAGGCCTTGGGTTCGATTCCCCAGCACCACATAAGCAAAAAGAAAAAAGCCGGAAGTGGCACTGTGGCTCAGGTGGTAGAGCGCTAGCCTTGAGCTGAAGAGCTGAAGGACAGCGCCCAGGCCCAGAGTTCAGGCCCACTACTGGACCCAAAAAAAAAAAAAAGAGTGTATTTCTAGCCAGGTGCCGTGGCTTACACCTGTAATCCTAGCTACTAAGGAGGTTGAGATCTAAATATCACAGTTCAAAGTCAGCCCGGTCGGAACAGTCTATGAGACTCTTAACCTCCATTAAACCACTAGAAAACCAGAAGTGGTGCTATGGCTCAAGCAGTAGGGTGCTGGCCTTGAGCTGAAGAGTGCAAGGACAGCACCCAAGCCCAGAGTTCAAGCCCCACGACCAACAACAACAAACAAAGGATACATTTCTTTTTGTTGTTGTTGTTGTTGTTCCTGGGGCTTGAACTTTGGACCTGGGCGCCATCTCTGAGCTCTTCAGCTCAAGGCAAGCACTCTACTACTTGAGCCACCGGGCCACTTCTGGTTTTCTGGTGGTTAACTGGAGATAAGACTTTCCTGCCCATGCTGGCTGGTTTACAAGTGTGAGCCACCAGCACCTGGCCAAGAGTACATTTCTCTTTGGACAGTGTCACCCTTTCCTTTGTTGTCTCCCATCCCACTTAAAAGTAGTATAGTTCATTTTCAACACAGTATCCAGTGAGTACTACACTTACTGGCTTTTGGCTAATTAATTGGAGATAAGAGTCTCACGGACTTTCCTATCCAGGCTGGCTTTGAACTCTGATCCTCAAATTTCAGCTTCCTGAATAGCTAGGATTACATGCATGAGCCATTGGTGCCTGGCTTACATATATCTTCGTAGGCACACCGCATGTAGAGTTCAACACTGTAGAAATTACTGAACTCCCCAACCATTCAGACAACTGGTCAACCCATGATCTGGTGGCTACATACTCTTCTAGATTCGTGTCCAAAAGGCAGACCCCAGCTCCTAAGCAAGCAACTCAAAGAGACACGTTAAGGTAGGTATGCAGGAGAGATGGGATCTTGCCTGCATCATCCACACTCCTGTTTGCTATTTCCCCAGGTGAATCTCCTCATCCCCCTGGCGTATTTGGTATTCTGGGCCTTCCTGCTGGTCTTCAGCTTCATCTCAGAGCCCATGGTCTGTGGTGTCGGCATCATCATCATCCTCACAGGGGTACCCATTTTCTTCCTGGGTGTGTTCTGGAGAAGCAAACCAAAGTGTGTGCACAGACTCACAGGTGAGATGGGCAGCTAGGCCTCGGGGCCTAGGGCTTCAAGAGGGGATCTTCCCCCAAGTAGGTTCTCCCCCAAACTAAGTTGATAACATAGAACCCAACCCCACCCGCCACCCCCATCCTCCAATGCCTCTGAGATGTCACTGTAGTGTCATGAACCCACCAGCAGAGGGCGCTGATGATCTCCACCTAAGGGGATTCTCTCTCCCACATGGGGCCGCCCCTTTGCAGAAGCATCAGGCTCCTAAAGTCCACCTGTCTGTCTGTCTGTCTCTCTCCTCAGAGTCCATGACACACTGGGGCCAGGAGTTGTGTTTCGTGGTGTACCCCCAAGGCTTGCCAGAGGAGGAGGAAAATGGCCCCATGGGTCAGCCCTCCCCACTCCCTGCCACCAACAAACCCTCCAAAACACAATGAGACATTTATAGAGACGGGAGGCGGCTGTCTCTGTTTACACGTTGTTTATTGAGGCGATGTTTTTTTTTTTCCGTGTGTGTGTGTGTGTGTGTGTGTGTGTGTGTGTGCAAAAATCCCCCCTCCCAGAAGAACAAAACAACCAACAATAACAACAAAAAGAAAGATGCAGTTCTTTCTAGAGGCCCTGTTGTTTAGGAAGCCCGGCTGATATAAACAGGGATTCCTGCCTTAGCATTGTTACCCTGTTAGCTTTTTTTTTTTTTCCCCCTTGAAAAAGGCCTAGAAATAAAACAGGGCTAGTTGTTGCTTGTGCTCAGGGGGGTTGCTGGGGGGGGGATTCCCCTTGGGGATTCATCTGAGTGACAGGCAGTCCTATGAAGCCTTGGTTACTGGACAGGTGTCATGGAAGAATCAGCCCTGGGTGGGGGTGGGGGGATTAGAGGGGTAGATTTGTCACTTGACCTAAGGCTGACTCAAATCTCAAAAGAGACAGGATAGGAAGCAGTGTGGTCTGCTACTCCCCCATCCCTCCGTGCCAGCCTGACCTCAGGCCTCTCAGATTTCCCAGATTTCCATCGGGGACACAACAGCACCAATGCCCATGCCCAGCCTTGTCTGGGCCATGGGCTTACCACTGTCAGTTGGGACCTTGGTCTCTATGACCCAAGGACCTCACAGCTTGCAAGGAGACCCCCAAAGTCCTTTCCCCTGTTCACTCATTCCCTGCCCTGCCCATTAACATCTGAGATACACACACACACATACATACACACACACACACACACACCATCGTAGCCAAAGGGCAAAGGGCACCAGCTAGGTCAACCTATATTGGACAGAAGCCCTTCTTAGCCGAGATCTCTAGGGCTCAGTGTGCTCACTGCAAATGAGGGACCCCCCCAACTCCCATATGTTCCTGTCACAGCTCATGACCCAGTTCTGTGGGGGCCCCAACCCCACAGGTTGATTAAAATGGGCAGCATGTCTCTCTTCTCTCTCTAGAAATGGATTCCAAGATTTGATTTGGGGGGAGTCACACAATGTGAGACTTCTACGCACACACCCTCAGACCCCCAAAGTACACACGGGACTTCCTCCAAAGACAAGCTTGTCACCTTACATTCTTTCCCTGGCCAGCTCTGCAGACCTGCTCACCAGGCCGTGCCCCTTAACTTGGAGCTCAGCGCATACTGATCGTAGCTTTGCTGGCAGAGGGCAGCCAGCCCCTCCCTGGGCCACGGGGGGAGGACCCCTTCCCCCTCTCTCTGTAAGAAAGGACTCAGAGGCAGGGTAGAAATGACTGTGTATTCCCTGGTTCCAAAGCATGGCTGTGGCCGTCACCCACATGTCCGATGGGTCAGCAGACCAGGAGAGCATCATCGTCACTGGCCTCCGAAGTTGGGGAGCAGGGTGGTGGGGGGCTCCTGCAGACCCCCAGTGACTCTGGTGAATGGGTGCTGCTGCTGCTGCTGCTGCTTGTGGCAGTGGGAGCCTGGGGCTGGGGATCCCGGGCCAAGCAGGGCTCAGGAGATGTGTCCACGGGGCCTGGGCTGTCAGTGACAGACTCCCTGGGGGCCTTTATGTCCTTGTCTGCAGGTGTACGCTCTGAGTCTTGTAAGCCTGAGAGTGAGGAGGGCCCCGAAGAGCCCACCTCTGCTGTATGGCCAGGGCCAATGGAAGGTCCACCCCCAGCTACCTGGGGGCTGCCTGTGTCCGTCTGGGGTGCAGGGGGATCCGGGGCGACCCCTGATGCTGGCTGGAGGAAGCCATCGCCCAGTACTGTCTGGGAGGTGCGGGCAGCCGTCAGCAGCGGGATCTGACCCCGAGGCGCCCGAGGCCTGTGGAAGAGCCGATTCCAGAGGCGGCCCAGCCTGCGTCGGGAGGGCCCCCTCCGAGAGGCGTGCCTTCGCATCTGCCGCCTCATGGCGGTGCGCAGGTTCTGTAGCACGGAAGCCTGCGGGTGCGGGGTGGGGGGTGGGGAGGGTGGCAGCTAGAGTCACTCAGGGGTCTGAGGTCAACCTGTGCCTCCTTCATCTGGCACGGTAGCTCCCCACCCCCTCCCCCCAGATCACTGCAAATGAGGCTTTTTCCTCTCTCCCTCCCGGACCAGCCTAGCCTTTGAACTCTGGCAGGAAGCCTGGCCCTGCAAGAGGGGAGGGAGGTGTCACACACAGAGGCCCCTCGGGGCTTACCTGGGATGCGCTGTAGACAGGAAAGTCTTCCACGGGTGGAATGAGGCCCTGAGCGATGAGCTGACCGTAGGAGGGAGGTGCCTCACGCCGCACAAACTCCGCCTCTAAGCGTGTCATCTGGGTCTCAAATGCCCTGAGGACAATGGACAGAAGGGGAGGGTTGCTATGATAGAGCTGTCCAGAATGTACCACAGGAACAGGACTCAGGGAACTCCTCCCCACCCCTCCATCCATACATTAAGAGATGACCAAACCAGGTGCCTGTGGCTCACACCTGTCATCCTAGCTACTCAAGAGGCTGAGATCTGAGGATCGCCATTGGAAGCCAGCCTAGGCAGGAGAGTGTGTGAGACTCTTCAGGCCAATGAACCATCAAAAAGCTAGAAGGGGAGGTGTGGCTCAAGTGGTAGAGTGATAGCCTTGAGTGAAAAAAAAAAAAAAAAAAGCTAAGGGAGCCAGTACTGGTGACTCACACCTGTGATGCTCACCACTCAGGAGGCTGAGATCTGAGGGTCATGATTCAAAGCCAGCCCAGGCAGGAAAGTCCGTGAGACGCTTATCTCCAATGAACCACCAGAAAATACTAAATGGAGCTGTGGCTCAAGTGTTAAGAGTGCTAACTGTGAACACAAAAGCTTCAAGACAGACCTGCCTCCCCCCCAAAAAAAAAGAAAGCTGAGGGATAGGGCTCAGATCCTGAGTTCAAGCCATAGAACTGGCACGGACGTGCACATAAACACAAGATGCCTAGTCCTCCAACAGGCACAAAAGCAATTATTTAAGATTTACATTGGGCAGGGACTGTGGCTTAGTGGTAAGAGTGCTTGCCCAGCATGCATGAAGCCCTGGGTTCAATTCCTCAGCACCACATATACAGAAAAAGCCAGAAGTGACACTGTGGCTCAAGTGGCAGAGCAAAAAGAAGCTCAGGGACAATGCTCAGGCCCTGAGTTCAAGCCCTAGGAATGGCCAAAAAAAAAAAAAATTTGCTTGACCTAAGCCAGCCACTGGTAGTTCATGCCTGTCATCCTAGCTACTCAGAAGGCTGAGATCTGAGAATCCCAGTTCAAAACCATCCCAGGCAGGAAAGTCCATGAGACTCTTATCTCCAATGAATACAAAAGTGGAAGTGGAGCTGTGGCTCAAAGTGGTAGAGCACTAGCCTTGAGCCCAACAACTCAGGAACAGTACCTGGATCCTGAGTTCAAGACCCAGGCCTGCTCTGACTGGTGATTTTTGCAGACTACCGCTGGGCACACAATAAGCCCAGGGCCCTCTGCCAGGACAAAACCACCCCCACGTGGCTGGTCCCCACCTGTATTCTTGAGTCCGCAGGGAGTAGAGCTTGAAGGCGCAGCCCAGAGCGATCACAAGCAATAGGCCACACACCAGGCTGCCTATGAGAGCAGCTGTGATGACCTTCCGGGGGACGGCAGCCAGGCAGCCGTGCTCATCGCTGCCATCCTGGCAATCCTCCTGGCCGTCACAGCGCCATGTCTCAAAGATACACAGGTTGGTACCACAGTGAAAGGTACCTGGCTGGCAAGAGAAGCAGTTTTTCTCATCGGCACCATCGGGGCAGCTTTTCTGGTTATTACAGCGGTCGGCAGGTGCATAACACAGCCCACTGCCACCTTCACAGGGATACTGATCAGGTGGACAAGCCGGGCATCCCTGTTCATCCCGGCCGCTGGCACAGTGCCACCAGCCATCACAGCGTTGTGGTTCGGAGAAACAGCCCTGATCGCCGGAGCCATCCTCCGACTCACTGCTGCCCCCGCATGGCTGTTCCCAAGGCAGGCAATAGCCCTTGACTTGGTAGGTAGCGTTGAAGCCGTGGCCAGCGCTGCGGGCGCGGGCGTGGTAAGCCACAGTGAGGCGACCCTGCGCGGCCTCCAGGCTCACAGGCCGGTGGTTGCTACGGTAAGACAGGGTCTGAAGCAGGCGGTCCCCACGCTCACCCAGGCCTTCGTACACCTGCACGTAATCGTCATAGCCCAGCCGAAGCTCCAGCTGCAGCAACACGCGCCGTGGGTCCTGCGTGTCCACCAGCCAGGTGCAGTGTAAATCTGAGGGCCCGCGGGCGGCACCAAACAGGTCTGGCGAGGCAAAGGAGCCATAGAAACTACCCAGCCGCCGGCCACAGGCCAGGTCGGGACAGCCAGCCTCGTCAGAGCCGTCTCCGCAATCCTGAGTGCCGTCACAGCGTCGCTGGGCTGGCAGGCAGCGTGTGGAGCGGGCCCCGCTGCAGGGGAAGGTGCCCCCGGGGCACAGGCTGCCCGGGGGCTCAGAGGCGGGCGCCGAGCAGTTGCCTTCGTCTGAGCCATCTCCGCACTCGTCCACGGTGTTACACTGCCAAGGGCCCGGCAGGCATTTCCCATTGTCACAGCGGAACTCATCTGCCTGGCAGGTCACCTGACCCAGCTTCCCTGGGGGTGGAGATGACAGAAAGGGGGCAAGAAGCAGTCAGGAGGAGGGCAGCGCCTCCCTCTAGCACACAAGACCTGGAACCCCAGAGCTACCCCCACCCCATTCCACCCCTCCACCAACCCCAGCAGGGCCCTGGGCAATGGCAGGGCCATGGAGCTAATGGGATTTAGGGTCAGTTCTATCCTTGATCTGAGATTGGGGGGGGGGGGGGGGGAGGAGGTGGAGGGGAGGAGTCTTTACTAAAGCCACACCCACCCATGAAATGTGAAATGGGGCTCAATGACATAAGGAGGTTCTAATCTTGACAGTTCCACTGTCAGGCAAGGCTAGCACCAGTGGCTCATGCCTGTCATCCCAGCTACTCAGGAGACTGAGGATGGAGGTTCAAAGCCAGCCTAGGCAGGAAAGTCTGGGAGACTTATCTCCAATGAATCAGTAAGAAGCTGCAAGTGGCACTGTGGCTCAAGTGGTAGAGTGCTAGCCTGGAGCAAAAGCAGCTCTGGGACAGCGCCCAGGTAGCCTTAAGCCCCAGGACTGGCAAAAAAAAAAAAAAAATCCAGGCACTGGATGGCTCACACCTGTAATCCTAGCAACTCAGGAGGCTGAGATCTGAGGTCGTGGATCCAAGCCAGCCTGGGAAGAAAAGCCCATAAGACTCTTATCTCCAGTTAACTACCAGAAAACAAGAAGTGGAGCTATGGCTCAAAGTGGTAGAATGTTAGCCTGGAGCAAAAAGAAAAAGATGGGCCAGGCTGGTCAGGGAGCTCCTGCAGGGAGTAGAATCTTTTTTTTTTGGTCCAGTCATGGGGCCTGAACTCTGGGCCTGGGCCCTGTCCCTCAGGTCTTCAACTCAAGACTAGCACTCTACCACTTGAGCCACAGCGCCACTTCCAACTTTTTTCTTTTTGCTTATGTGGTGCTGAGGAATCGAACCCAGGGCCTCAGGCATGCAAGGCAAGCACTCTACCACTGAGCCACCTTCCCAGCCCCTCCTGCAGGGAGTAATAGAGGCAGTGAAGACTATTGCCTGGAAGGTCCCATCTTACCCCCTCAGCTCCACAAACCTCGAATGTAGGAGAGACGGAAGCCCTGGGCCTGGCCGGAGCTTGAGGCATCCGAATGGAAGAAGATCCACACATGATCACGGGCAGAGATGAAGGCGGGTGGGATGGCTGAGCCGCACAACCGGAAGGCCTCCTGGCGAGGGGAGGCTGCTGGGCCCAGCAGCAGCCAATCCAGGGAGCACTGGTGAGACTCCTCCACATCAAAGTTACGGAAACTGTAGGCGAGGGGCAAAGGCGGGACCATGGTACAGGTGTATGAATAATTCTGACATCGGTGGGTGACCAAGGTCCCTCTTCTAGTGGGTCAGCAGGGACAGGGCAGCCCAAGCTTCCAGCCTTAATTATGACATGGTAGCCAATGCTGAAGTTGTATAACCCTGGACCAGAGCCATGACCCAGCTTCTGTGGGGAAACTGAGGCACAGAAACTAGAACCTTGCTCCTGTTTGTTATACTGCCCGAACCATTGCGATGGCCCTATGGCAGAAGGGAAGAAACTTAGACACAAAAACTAGGTCAGGGGCTGGGAAGGTGGCTCAGCGGTAGAGCGCTTGCCTTGCACGCATGAGGCCCTGGGTTCGATTCCTGAGCACCACATAAATAAAAAGAAAACAAGCCGGAAGTGGTGCTATGGCTCAAGTGGTAGAGCGCTAGCCTTGAGCTGAAGAGCTGAGGGACGGCACCCAGGCCCAGAGTTCAGGCACCATGACCAGACCTCCCCCCCCCAAAAAAAAAAAAAAAAACTAGGTCATTATCTGCTCCTGTCTGTTGTTTCCTGGACTAGAGTCACGGCTTTGTGGCTCTGGGGGAAACCGAGGCACAGAAACAGGACATTGCTTCTGCTCATTGTACTCCCTGCACCATATCCATGGCCCTGTAGTGGTGGAGGAAACTGAGGCACAGAAATTAGGACATGGTTTGCTCCTACAAGTTATGCTCTCTGGACCATTAGCCATGGCCCTGGGGGGAAACTGAGGCACAGGAATGGAAACATCATTTGCTCGTGCCCGTCATGGCCCTGTCCTTTGGGACCGTGGAATAATTAGACCCGGGGGAACTTTCGGATGTTGGCATGTAGAGAAGGTACAGCTGCCAGAACCCATAGTGTGTTCTCAAAAACATGTTGCCATCTGGTCATTTCATCCTGCTTCCCTCTCTGCCTTCTTCTAGGGTTTGAACACCAGCTCCAGCCTGGATCCCTTCCTGGCTGAGATCCCACCCTCATGGTCCCTTGCGGGGAGCCCTGCTCAGGGCTCATGCCACCCAAGCCGGAAGCCACCTGCACAGCAGAGGATGCTACACAGAGCCACAGTCTTTAGGATGCCTTCCTAACAGAGTTGAATGCCTCTGACAACCCACTACCCCGAGAAAGAGGCTCAGGACAGAAAGAATCCAGTCAGGATGCCAGGCCATGGAGGCCCAGCGATCTGGGATACGGGGTGGGGTGGGGGGCGGGCCATACAATGCCATGGACATTCATCTCTCTACATACCTAGCCACACCCACACAACAGCCCTCCACACCTGCTGCACTCACTTCCACATCCCACATCCAGTATGTAGGATTCCCTCACTAGTTTTCCCCTCTCCTTCCTTCCTCTCCACCCTCCCCGTTCCCCCCCCCCCCCCCCCCCCCCCCCCCAGTCCTGAGGTTTTAACTCTGGGCCTGAGTGCTATCCCTGAGAGCCTTTTTGCTCAAGGCTAGCATCTACCACTTGAGGCACACCTGGATTTCCAGGTTTTTCTGTGATTAATTGGAGATAACAGTCTCATGGGGGCTGAGAATGTGGCTTAGTGGTAGAGTGCTTGCCTAGCATGCAGGAAGCCCTGGGTTTGATTCCTCAGTATCACATAAACAGAAAAAGCCGGAAGTGGCACTGTGGCTCACGCAGTAGAGTGCTAGCCTTGAGCAAAAGAAGCTCAGGGACAGTGCCTAGGACCTGAGTTCAAGCCCCAGGACTGGCAAAAAAAAAAAAAAAAAAATCCCAGACTTTCCTGCCTGGGCTGGCTTCGAACCGTGATCCTCAAATCTCAGTGACCTCCTGAATAGCTAGGATGACAGGCCTAGGTCACTAGTGCCTAGCCCTCCTACTATTTTTTTGGTGCAAGTCCTGTGACTTGAACTCAGGGCCTGGGCACTGTCTCTGAGCTTTCACACTCAAGGCTAGTGGTCTACCACTTGAGCCACAGCTCCACTGCTGGCTCTTTGATGGTTCACTGGAGATAAGAGTCTCTCATGGATGTTCTAGGCTGGGCTGGCTTTGAACTGTGATCCTCAGGTCTCAGCCTCCTGAGGAGCTAGGATGACAAGTGTGAGCTACCACACAGGTGTGGTGCTCAGCTATTCCCCCATACCCTGTTTACCTGATGGTGATCATGTCCCCTCGGTCACCCTGGATGTACCAGCTGCAGTTGGTGCCCGGTGGGTAGTTGAGAGGCCAGGCTGGGCTATAGATGACACCACGCCGTTCTGTGTGTTGTTCCAGCTTCCCGCTACAGGCAGCTAGGGGGGAAGAAGAGGCTGAGAGAAGCACAGCTCACCTTTGGGTAGGAAACAGGTTTGAGGGTACTGGAGCCCTCTCTTCCCTATACATGGTGTCTCCTATGCTGACATCCAGTCCAACCAGGGCTGGCCATGGCCTAGGGCAAGGCTGTGACTCAAGCGTTCATGGAGCTGAGCACTGGGAGCTCACTCCTATAATCCTAGTTACTCAGGAGGCTAAGATCTGAGGGTCTTGGTTTGAAGCCAGGCTAGGGTAGGAAAGATCCAGAGACTCTTAACTCCAATTAACCACCAAAAAAAAAAAAAGTGGGAAAGTGGAGCTGTGACTCAAGTGGTAGAGCACTAACCTTGAGCAGAAGGAAGGAAGGAAGGGAGGGAGGAATCTGATGACAGTGGGCATCTCATGCCAGTGACAGAGAAGAAGGGGACAGTGGCTTCCAGGGATTCCCCTCACGGGAAGTAAGAACTGTGGTACAGTATTAAGGCGGGCTGGGCAGGCAGAGACAGCAGGGCATGTATTTGGCTGTTTGGGACCACAGAGGTGTGCTGGTATCACGTGCAAGGGATGGGTGACAGATTGCTTCTGTCCTTAGTGACCAGCTCAAGTGGAAAAAAAAAAAAAAAAAGGATGAGTGGGCACTTTCATGAGCCTGTGTCCTTCTTCCCTGGCCCAAAGAATCATTAAATCCTCCTGAGAGAATGCAAGCAAAGCCTGATGAAGCACAATTTGTAGATCTGATTTCCCGACTACCTGCCAGTGTAACCTGACCACAACCAGCCTGAGCCTCACCTCAGGCATTCTGGGAAGTGGTCAGGCGATCCGGCAGCATAATCTTGCCCCACCCTAGGAGCCGAGGTAGTGGCCGAGATTAAGGGGGCAAAGCCTCAGAGATTGCTCAGCCATTAAGAGAATCTGAGGCCAGTGAAGGCCGAGAGGAAGGTGGAGGCCCATTCCTCATCACAACTCCTGTGTGAGGCACTAAAGAGAAATTCCTAGCCACAGAACCATGGTGGAGAGCCCCATGCCAGAGTGGGGAATCACAGTCCTGAGGGATGAGCCATGAATATACCCCACACTAGAGACGGTTTAAAAACAATCCAACAAGGGGCTGGGATGGTAGCTCAGTGGTAGAGTGCTTGCCTTGCATGCATGAGGCCCTGGGTTCGATTCCTCAGCACCACATAAGCAGAAAAAGCCAGGAGTGGCACTGTGGCTCAAGAGTGGTAGAGCGCTAGCCTTAAGCTGAAGAGCTGAGGGACAGTGCCCTGGCCCAGAGTCCGGGCCCCATGACCACAACAAAAAAAGAATCCAGCAAGCTGGGTGTTGGTGGCTCACGCCTGTCATCCTAGCTACTCAGGAAGCTGAGGTCTGAGGGTCACAGTTCAAAGCAGGGTAGCCCAGGGCAGGAAAGTCCATGAGACTCTTGTCTCCACTAAACTAAAAAAAAAAAAAGAAGAAGAAATGGCATTGTGACTAGTGGTAAAATGCTAGCCTTGAACAAAAGAAGTTCATGGACAGAGCCCAGGCCCTGAGTTCAAACCCCAGGACTGGCACATACATATACACACACATACAAAATCCAAAAAACTAGATGCCAGTGGATCATGCCTGTAATCTGAGCTACTCAGGAGGCCAAGATCTGGGGATTGCAATTTGAGGCTAGTCCAAGCAGGAAAGTCTTTAAGACTCTTATCTCTAAATAATCACCAAAAAAAAAAAGGCCAGAAGTAGAGTTGTGGCTCAAGTGGTAAAGAACTAGCTTTGAGCAAAAGAGCTCAGGAATAGTATCCAGGCCCTGAGTTCAAGCTCTAAGATCAGTACAAAAAAATAAAAACACCACAATCTGACATAGGCAATTTTCTCTCCCAGGCTCTATAGAAAGAAAGGCTGACTTAAGGCTCAGGTTTCAAAGATGTGAGCCCCTCATCTCCCTGACCTTACTCTATCCTGGCCACAGATACCTGAGCAGGGCAGAGCCAGTCTGTCCTGGATGGGAAGTTGGGCTGTCCTTTGTGGCTTGAAAAGGAAGAGTCCTAGGACCAGCCCAGCTCAGCACAGACTGGGTCAGAGGCCAACTGTGGAGAACTATGAAGGTGATTAAGACCTGGTATTCAGGACACTAGCACTGGGCCTTATCAGCTCCCCATCCTGTAACCATCATCAACCAGTATTGGCCCCTCCTAGGTCCCTGGTCCTGACACCTGAACTCAGACCCTAAGCAGAACCAGAAGCCCTAGAAAACGTGGCCAAACATCTTCTCACTTCACACTCACATCTTTTTATGAACTCAGGGCCTTGCATTCTTGCTTGGCTTTTTCACTCAGTGATGGTATTCTATTACTTAAACCACACGGCTCCACTTCCAGGTTTTTGCTGGTTAGTTGGAAATGAGGGTCTCTCAGATTTATCTGCCCTGACTTGTTTGGAACTGCAGTTCTCAAATTCCAGCCTTTTGAGTAGCAAGGATTACAGGCGTGAGCCACTGGTGCCTGGCACTAGGTATTATTTTAACTCAGACAAGGATTTGATGATATCTCATGGCCCTGAGGAACCCTGTAATCAGCAGCCCACAGGAGTCCCAGTCTGCCATTGGTACTTTGGGCCCTTTGGAGTTTCCATGGCTACCATGCTCTAGATACCACACTAAGACTTTTGCTTTAATAGCTCACTGAACTCTAACCAGCAGGCCTGAGAGTCTGGAATCTCACCCATTTTACAGAAGAGGAAACTTGAGGCCCAGGAAGTGGAAGCTCACAGAAGACCAAACAGCTTCCTTATAATGCAGAAAAGATGCTCAAGGTCTGATATACCCAACAAGGGGATGGAGCCAGAACCAGAAGGCAGGCTCTCAGAAGTCACTTAACAGAGAAGGGCCAATCAGCAGCAAGAGGGGGTGGGGAATTACTCACCTAGGGCGGGAACTGCGCTGCTGAGCCTCCCCGTGAGAAAAAAGTTCACTAGGAGAAACACAAAGAGAGATCAGAAGGATCCGGGTACGTGCCCTGGGTCAGAGGCAGACCTAACAGAGGCACAGGACAACACAGACAAATCTAAGGTCTGTCTCCTTCATCCCAGAAGGCAGAGCTCAGAGATCTGCCAGACACTCCCTGCCATCCCAAAATGGCTTGGATGAAAGAGGCTAGGATCCAAGGACAGTCACAGGACCCACCCTGCCATACCCACAGACCCCACTGTAACCTGGTCATAACACACCAGATCATCACACTCCTGCTCTACAACTTGGGAATGGGTGTTCCCACAGGCTTGGGGGCCACAGGCCAGGTGAGGAGGTCATATCTGTCAAGAGGCCATGCTGGTGGCTCACACCGGTAATCCCAGCTACTCAAGAGGCTGAGATCTGAGAATCTCCATTCAAAACCAGCCTAGATCAAAGCCAGCCTAGGCAGGAAAGTCCGGGGAGACTCTGTTCTCCAAGGAACTACCAAAAGGCCAGAAGTGGAGCTGTGGCTCCAGTGGTAGAAAGTTAGCCTTAAAGAAAAAAGAAAAAGCTAACAGACAGCACCCAGGCTCTGAGTTCAAGCTCCAGGACCAGCTCCAAAGGAAAAGGTGGTCCTTATCAGTGACATCGCAGGGTGTCCCCTAGTGACCCCAGCCCTTTCAGGGTCTCCCTCCTCCATCAAGGTAAATAAAGGAGCCATGTGAGTTGGGGATTTAACTCCTTCCTCTTCCCATACAGAGTCCTGGGAACCATGAACAAAAAAAAAAAGAAACTCCTGGGCAAAGAAGGAAGAACCTTTCCCACTCTGGAACCCCCCCCCCCAACACACACATGCACACACATACACACACACACACGCCTACCCTCTTGGGTCTAGGAAGACACAAAGGGAAAAATATGACTCCTTGTGACAGCTGTCTCCTTCCCTGGCATCCTCCTCTACCAGCCTCATCTTGAGACACCCCCCCCCTCCAACTCTGACTAGCCAGCACCCCACCCCTTGACTCCAACTCCAGGTCTTCAGGGTGGGAGACAGCCAGCTGGGCTTTGTGTGAAGCTCCAGAGGGGCCAAGCTGATCAGCGACAGGCCAGGTGGGAGCCACAGCCTTGGTGCATGGCACAAACGTGTAGCAATCACAAACCCCAGGGGGGAACCACTCTGCTTCTGGGGTCACCCCCCTTCCCCCAATACACATACACACACACCCCCCTCTTTGGTAGGCCTCAGGCCTGAGATCTCTGCCCAGACCCATTGTAGGAGCCAGGGCCCTGGGGGGGGGGGGGTAGGGTGGGAGGGAGACCCAGGCAAACTCTAGCATCTAGGTGGGAGAGGGGGAGGAGGTGTTCCAGCTTGGACGCGGTCTAAGAGCTGCAAAACCGGGGTCCCCGGACCTCGCCAGGCCTGTCTGGGCCCCACTCACCCAGGCAGACGACAGCGAGCTGCGCCCGGGGGCCCGGGGCTCCCTCCGGCCCCCCGGCTGCCGGCTTCTCCATGCCGGAGGATGGGGGGCGGGGGATGCACAATGCGGGCACCGCCTCCTGCTCTGGGGCTCGGGCTCCGCCGCTGGGGGCCGGCCCGGCGGGGGCGGCGATGGCCCGGGCGCCGGCGGCGTCTTTGTGCGGCGGCGGCGGCGATGGTGGTGATGGTGGTGCAGGCGCGCGCGCGCGCGCTCGCGGGGCCACATCGGCCGGCCACGGCGTCACGGGTCCCGCGGGGGACTCCGCGGTGACCACCAGGGATGGCCCCCGGCCTTCCAATGGCCCCGCTCCCCGGCTGCCACAGCGAGGCGGGCAGCCTGGGCCGGGGGGACCCTGGGCGCATCCATGTCCCCCCCCAACCCACCACCACCACCACCACCACGGCCTCCCCAAGCGCACTCGTGGACACCCAGCCCCTAGTGAGTCTGCCTGTCTGTCGGTCTGTCTTCCGTGTCTGTCGGTCCTCCCGTCCCTCCCCCACCCCACCCCCTGAGCGCGCCTGGGGACCACGTGATGCGCCTGGCGGAGCCGCAGTGGCGTCGGCCGGGCAGGGCGGAGTCGGCCGGGGGGCGGGGGGGGGGGGGTGCGCGCAGGCCCCGCCTCGCCTCGGGGTGCTGGACAGCTCCATCCATGGGGTCTGAAGGGCGCAGTGCCTTCTCCTAGACAGCCTGGAGGAGGGGGGAGGGAGAGGGGGTGCGGAGGGGGGCGGGGGGGGGGGAAGAGGTCCCTGGTCTGTGGATGGCATGGCTGCTCAGGAACTGGTGTCTTCCAAGAGCCAGAAGAAGAGGATAGAAAGGTGAGAGACTAGCACTATTTCAACATGCACACGTGTTGGGGCGCCTGTGGCTCAGGCCTGTCATCCTAGTTACTCTGGAAGTTGAGATCTGAGGATCAAGGTTCAAAACCAGTCCAGGCGGGAAAAGTACATGAGACTCATTTCTCTGGTGGAGAGAGCACCAGAAAACTTTGAGTGGTTGACTAGAAAGTTAACTATACATCCTGGGTGGGGGGGTGGGGGAATCCAGAAATCCCACATCTGGGTGTTAGCCTAGTGAAGGAAGAAACTATTTTCTGTCAGGCATGGGTGGCTCACCCCTGTAAATCCTAGCTACTCAGGAGGCTGAGATCTGAGGATCATGATTCAAAGCCAGCTCAGGGAGGAAAAGTCTGTGAGATTCTGTTAGATTATTTGGACTTTGCCAGAAAACCACACAGACGTCCAGGTAGAGAGAACAAAGAAAGGGTTATTGCCAGGAAAGGGGCCGGGAAGACCCCTTCTCACAAGGGAGAAGTGAGAACTGCCAGCTATTGTCTGGGGTGACCTAAATAACCTACTGAGGTGTAGGAGGGGCTAGAAGGGGTTAGGAGGCAGAGACCCTGGTGTGGATGTGAGGACCAGGAGCTTCATCATGGCAGACCAGGATTTATGGCTGCTGCCCAAGTAGTAGATACGTAGCTCTGCAGCTGCCCAAGGTCACTCTAAGGGGCTCTTGCTGCCTTATTTGGTGATAGCTGCCCCAGAGGAGTGCCATCCCAAGGCAAAGGGGGGTTGGGTTGGAGGCTGATTATGTACTGCCTTTACTAAATGGGCCTAGTGTTGCAGAAAGGGAGCATGCTAAGCTGTGGAAGGGGGAAGGAGAGGGCTAAGTTATTGGAAGGGAGCTCATTGGTCTAACAGATTCTCTCTCTCTCTCTCTCTGTTGGTCATGGGGCTTTAACTCTGGGTCTGGGCACAGTCCCTCAGCTCTTTAGCTCATGGCTAGCGCTCTACCACTTGAGCCAGAGCACCACTTCTGGTTTTCTGAGTGGTTTATTGGAGATAAGAGTCTCACAAAGTTCCCTGCATAGGCTGGCTTTGAACCACGATTCTCAGATCTTAGCCTCCTGAGTAGCTAAGATTATAGACTGTGAGCCACCGTTGCCCAACAGCTAACAGATTCTTATCTCCAACTAACCAATAAAAGGCTGGAGGTGTGGCTCAAATGCTAGAGTGTTAGTGTTCGCCTTGAGCACAAAAATTCAAGGACAGGGGCTGGGAAGGTGGCTCAGTGGTAGAGCACTTGCCTTGCATGCTTGAGGCCCTGGGTTCAATTCCTCAGCACCACATAAGAAAAAAGCCAGAAGTGGCGCTGTGGCTCAAGTGGTAGAGTGCTAGCCTTGAGCCGAAGCCCATGACCAAAAACAAACAAAAAAAGAAAAACAAAAAACCTCCCCTGAGGGAGAGGCCTTCATCCATGTTGAACCTTTATGCAACAAACTCCTACTTAAGGCTTTCATGCCGGTGCCTTGCTTCTGAGTTTCCATGTACAAGGCTAATGGCTCTCCCATTTTGAGCCACAACTCCACTTCCAGTTTCCTGGTGATTCACTGGAGATAAGAGTTTCATAGACTTTCCTCCCCAGCCTGGCTTTGAACCGTGATCCTCAGATCTCAGCCTCTTGAGTAGCTAGGATTGCAAGTGCGAACCACCAGCATCAGGCTCTGACTTTTTTTGTGTGTGTACCTATCCTGGGCTTGAACTCAAGACCTGGCACTGTCTCTGAGCTTTGATAGTCAAGGTTGGTGCTCTACTACTCGAACCTCAGTTCCACTTTTGGCTTTTTTAGTGCTTCATTGGAGATAAGCATCTCACTTTTTTTTTCTTTTTTTTTTTGGTCATGAGGCCTGAACTCTGGGCCTGGGCACTGTCCCTGAGCTCTTCAGCTCAAGCCTAGCACTCTACTACTTGAGCCACAGTGGCCACTTCCGGCTTTTTCTGCATATGTCATACTAAGGAATTGAACCCAGAGCTTCATGCATACAAGGCAAACACTCTACCACTGAGCCACCTTCCCAGCCCTCACAGATATTAACTTGGTGAGCCTGGGACTGCTATCCTCAGATCTCCGAGTAGCCAGGATTATAGGCATGAATCACAGTGCCAGCCTGAAATTCTAAACCATGTGCTTGTTTTTGAACAATCTAACTCAAGCCTGCTATTTCCCTTAACTTCGTTGCTGTTGTTTTCCCTCCTTCCTTTCTTCATACACACTGGTAACACCTCTGAACCTGTCTGGGAGGGTGTGTGTGTGTGTGCATGTGCGTGTGTGCGCACACGCACTGTTACTGGAGCTTAGATGCTTGTTCCTTAGCTTTTTCACTCAAGGATGAGCACTGTATTACTTGAGTCACAGCTCCACTTGTTTCCTTCTTTCCTTCCCTTCCATTCGCTCCTTCCCTCCCTTCCACTTTCCCTCCATCCCTCCTTTCCTTCCTTGTGGTTAATTGCTGATAAGAGTTTTATGGATTTCCCTGCCTGGGCTGGCTTAGAATCGCAATCCTCAGATGTCAGCCACTTAAGTAGCTAAGATGACAGGCGTGAGCCACTAGTGCTCCTGTTGGATTTGACCCATGGCTATCCTAGGGAAATACCTTGAAATCTCCACCTCCGCACCCTCAAAGTCTTGGGTATGATGGCTCTACAACAGGTCCCCTGCATGGTTGCAGCCACACACCCTGCCCAGGCCTTGCTGTCCACCCCACCCTGAACAGTTGAACAGAGCCTTCCAGGATCTTCCACAGTTGGGGTTCAACTGCATTGCCACACGGCCACACTGCACTCTTAGCTTTCCCTCTGGTCCGCACTTGACCTCTCAGGGCCTGCCATCCACCTGCAAAGAAGTCGAGGATTGAAGAAGGAATTCAGTATTATGTGGAAGGCTTGCCTGCATTCGACATCCCAGGAGACCCACGCCACGGGCAAAGGCAGGCGGGTATGTATGGCTGCAACCTCTCTGTTCCCTTTCAAGGTCCAGGTTCACGATCTGGAGATTCAAGGTGGGGGAACTGTGTAGCTTGCCAGGCCACGCAGAGATTTCGGGTTAAAAGTACTTTTCCGAGTTCACCTTCGCATCCCCAAAGTAAGGAACAGTTGGAATATATGGAAAGCAAAAGCAAAACGCAACGAGAAAGCTTGACGCTCAAGCCTAGGCACCGCTGGGATTCGAACCCAGGATCTCCTGTTTACTAGACAGGCGCTTTAACCAACTAAGCCACGGCGCCGCCCGCGTAAGTACCGCGAGAAACGATTCCCCATCTCTAGTTACCTCACGAATCGCACGCATGCGCACAGCTAGTCTGCCGCCTGTGACAGGCGCATGCGTGGGGGGGGGGGGGTCGTCTTTGACTCTTGAACACGCCAAGGGTGGGAGGAAACCCCAAACGCCGGAAGTTCTGTCGTGACGTCATGGTCCCGCGACAGCCTCCCGCGCACTGTCTCGTCGCGCCAGCATCTCTCAGGAGTCGTCTGAGCCGGGTGTGGACGTTTGTGTGTTGGTGCTGGGAGGTGAGATGAGGTGGGGGGGATTCCCCCCACCCGTCTTGGAAACACCCCGCTTCCCCCCAGCGCGGCTAGCCTTCAGGGGCGTCCTGCTCGCTCTCCGCAGGCCCTCGGCGGGATTTGGCGAACGACGGCGCAGCCCTGGGGAGCTCCAACTTCCATTCGGCCTCGACTCCTCGCGGCGAGTTTGCGTGTGTGTGTGTGTGGGGGGGTGCTGATGGGCCCCCAGCAACTACGGATTTCATGGGCCCAGGCTGCTGGCTTCGGGTAGCAGCACAGGACCAGCTTCCCTTCCTGCTTCCCACAGGGCCCCCTAACATCCGCACCCCGGCACCTACCCACTTCATCCCAATGCTGAGACCTCCGCAGGAATGTAAGGTCGATGCAAAACAAAGATGCATGGGAAGGGCGCCCCACTAGTATTTGTAGCTGCTCAGCCAGGGGGACAGAGGCTGTCATGTACAGTCTGTCCATTTTCTTTTTCTGTGTGTGTGTGTGTGTGTGTGTGTGTGTGTGTGTGTGTGTGTGTGTGTGTGTGTGTGTGTGTGTGTGTGTGTGTGTGTGTGTGTGTGTGTGTGTGTGTGTGTGTGTGTGTGTGTGTGTGTTGGTCCTGGGACTTGAACTCCGGCCCAAGCGCTGTCCTCTTTCGCTCAAGGCTAGGGCTCTACCACTTTGAACCCGTAGCTCCACTTCCGGTTTTC